CCCCCATGATTCAGCGTAACATGGAAAGGATTGGGGCACCCATAGGTGGCAAGGGGAAAGGCCCCTATGCTGAATGTTCATCCCTTTCCCAGCAGACAGGACCCCCACCGACCCCAACAGAGGAGGTAAACTTACTGGGAGGCCAGGAAAGCCGCGGGGTCCATCCCGTCCAGGCACACCAGGAAGGCCTGCAGGTCCTGGAGAGATGGAGCTGTTCGTTCCAAAACGGCCTGGCTCACCGGGCAGGCCTGGCACTCCTGGGGGCCCCGGAGGGCCGGGGAAGCCTCGTGGGCCCTGGACACAACAGACACGGATGGTCAGGCTGTGCACAGGAACTCCCCCTTGGCCTTGCCACCATCCCACAGCCCCTCCCACATGTGCTTGAGATGGCAGGCAGTGGCCACAGGCTCAGGGTCACTCACCCTGAGGGTCTCCAGGTCACCCCCGAAGCCAGACCCCTCCATGTCAATGAAAGTCTGACAAGAAAGAGCCAAGAGGCCATCACCAGGAGCTCTCCCTCCACCCTCTGAATCCCCCCCTTCACTGACCTCTGTCCCTCTGACCTCCCCAGCCCTCAGACTCTCAGCCTCACCAACCTGTGTCCTGAACACAGGCAGCCCCATGAGGGGCAGCTCAAATTGGTTGTAAGGAAAGGCAGAGAGAAGTGGACAAGGGCTCCCGCCAACCCCAGGCACCCAAAGTGGGGGGGGGGAGCTCCCATAGCACTGCACCCCCCCAGGGCCTGAAGAGGCCTGAACACCTCACTCCCAAGAGGCAGTTTCCTATGTCTAAGGAAGGCAGATCCTAGAATGTAGGAGGCTCATGGAGGGGCTCACCAGCTTGTCGTGTCTGAAGGACGGTCCCGGTGGCCCTGGAGGCCCTTGGGGTCCTGGAGGTCCTCTTGACCCAACTCCAGGATCCCCCTGGGCATAAAGGCAAATCCGTCACCCCAAGGATCAAGAGCTGAGAGACAAGGAGGCCCCAGGCTGGAAGACTCACCTTCTCACCTTTGGGGCCCACCTCTCCTGGAGTGCCTGGGAAACCCTGTGGCCCTGTGTCACCCTGGAAGACAAAGACCCTGTCACATGGCTACTGGAACCCCCCAGGGCCTGAAGAGGCCTGAACACCTCACTCCCAAGAGGCAGTTTCCTATGTCTAAGGAAGGCAGATCCTAGAATATAGGAGGCTCATGGAGGGGCTCACCAGCTTGTCGTGTCTGAAGGACGGTCCCGGTGGCCCTGGAGGCCCTTGGGGTCCTGGAGGTCCTCTTGACCCAACTCCAGGATCCCCCTGGGCATAAAGGCAAATCCGTCACCCCAAGGATCAAGAGCTGAGAGACAAGGAGGCCCTGCCCCAGGCTGGAAGACTCACCTTCTCACCTTTGGGGCCCACCTCTCCTGGAGTGCCTGGGAAACCCTGTGGCCCTGTGTCACCCTGGAAGACAAAGACCCTGTCACATGGCTACTGGAACCACCACAGCACGTGGTTTAGCTCCCTCAATACCCCAGAGTGTGGAACACAGGCTGAGCCCTTCAGGGCATCTGGCAGGATGCAGGAAATTGGAGACACCTGTCAGGACACCAAGTGGACCCCAGGAGCGAAAGCTAGGACCTGAAGGCAGACGCTGTGACAAGAGCCACATCAGCATGAGCCAACTGGACTACAGTGCCTGGGAGAACCCACACAGCACTTTGCCAAACACTGGGCACTCAGCCTGCTATACACATGTACATACATGCAAGGATGTGTAATGTGTGTGTCTAGCCTGTGAGTGGTGTCTAAATGTGGTGTATGTCTATGTGGTATATGTGTAGCCTGTGCGGCATATCCATGTGAGGTGCACTGTGTGGTGTCTGTGTGTGGCCCATGTGTGTGTGTATGTGGGGGGGCACTGTAGATAGGGGATGCCTGTGTTGGCTCCTGGGTGGGTGTGAGAGCAACCCTCATGCCTTGACGGTCCATGGTTTTGTGCATCCCTATGTGCTCGAGAAAGATGTGCAGGGCTTGGTTTTCAGATGGGAAATTTTTGGGGGGAGGTTTTTGCTATAGGGCATGTGCACTCACCAGAAAGACAGAGAGAGACAGAGAGACAGAAAGCGAGAAATCACCCCACAGGGGAGATGGCCGCAATCCCTTCTCCTCCATTCTCTTCTCGGGATCTTAGGCACACATGCACACGCGCCCGGTGTGAGTTTAAGCCACTGGGTCTGGGACTCGAACCGCAGTCAACCACATGGGAGTTCAGCAACATAGCCATTACGCTAACTGCTGGTCCCCAGATAGGAAATTTTACCATAACCTGCTAGAGTGAGCTCATCAGCTCAGCCTCTTGGATCTGTACCACTGTACACACACACGTACATACTGCAGGCTCTGGCAGTGTGGCTAAGCCCCCGTGTCTCCCGCCACCACCATGCACAATCAGTTTCCGTTTTCCTACTGCACGTCTCTGCTCTCAGATGCAGAATGCTCATTAACGATCATTTTGTAGTCAATATGAAATACCCTTCTTTTGACCTTTCCAAGTGTTTTTTGCTTTTGTTTTCTCCTTTATGAGAGAGGGAAATGGAGACAGAGATAGGTCTTTGCAGGGTCTCAGCAGCAATGACTCTTCTGCCCCAGCCTCCCCTTTAGCTGGGATTACAGTGAAGCGGGCCTCCTGGGTGGTCTGCAGCCTCTCATGCAATGGTGCTATCCACCAGAGTTGGGTCCTTTCAGGCTGTTTTCAACCTGACTCGGCTGTGTTCGGGATCAGTCATCTGACATCAGCCATCCACCTTTTCTATGTTCCCTTTTGCTGGGCATGTTGTTTGCCAAATTGTATTTGCAACCTCCTTATGTTATTTTACTGTGTTTCTTGGAAATAGCATTTGTTGATTTTTAAAAATCTAAACTGAGCTAACCGAAACTCTCAGGCTTGCCCTGTGGCCTAGTGGTTAAGGGAGCCAGATCCCATGTGACCGACCACAATTCAAATCTGGCCCGGTAGCTTAAGAAACATGCCAGGCATGTGTATGTGTCCCAAATCCCAACAAGATGGAGAAATGGAGAAGGGATTGCAGCATGACCACACCCCACTGGAGCATGTTTTCGTCCACTCTCTGGTGAGTGCATGTGCTCTCTGCAATTAAAAAAATATACATTAAAATAGAAGCTCTCCGGGCAGCTGGTGGTAAGGTGACTGGATCCCAGAGGGTCAACCATGCAGCTGGAGAAACATGCCAGGTACAAGTGCATGCCCAAAACACGAAGGAAGGGAGAAACGGAGAAGGCACTGTCCATGGCGAGGTACTTTCTCTCTTTCTCTCTCTCTCAGTCTCCAATGAGTGCACGCAGTCTCTGGCAAATTTTTTTAAAAAAAGAAAGAAACTCTCAGCCCAGCCATGGTGGCACATGCTGCTGAGACACTGTGATCAGCAGGCTGGGACCACATGAGAGACCCGGGTTCCGTTCTCAATCCAACCTAAGACTGGGCACGGCGATGCAGGAAGCTGAGGCAGGAGGCTGTCAGCTCGGGGCTGGCTTGGGCAACACAGTAACCCCTGACCTGAAAACGGTAGGAGTGTTGTACACGCCTGTGCCAGCTGGGAGGCTGAGGCAGGAGGACAGTGACACGGTGAGACCCTTGCACTGATGTGACCACTGATGGCATGCACGCGCACCTGCCGTGTTTGCTCTTCTTTTCTATGCATCGAACCCCCCCACCCCCGACACTTTCAGACTTTATTACTCTGTTAAGCAATCATGTCCCCAAGGCTTGGGAAGGTATTCCACATATTTATGTTTTCCTGGTAGTTAGCCTAAACATCTCAATGCAAATAAAAGCTGCATATTTCTCTATCTACGGGCGACATGTATTTTCTTTTTGGGTGGGGAGGGAGAGGTTTTCTTTTGCTACAGGGAGCGTGCACTCGCCAGACAGAAAGAGAGACAGAGAGATAGAAAGCAAGAAATCACCCCCCAGGGGGGATGACCATGCTGCAATCCCTTCTCCTCCATTCTCCTCTCAGGATCTTGGGCATGCACGCACACGCACCCAGGGTGAGTTTTAAGCCACCGGGTCTGGGACACAAACCACGGTCGACTACATGGGAGTCCAGCGACATAGCCATTACGCTAACTGCTGGTCCTGAGACATGTATTTTCTTAACAAGAGCTGAGATGCATCTTCTAAATGGCTTCACTGTGGAACCCCTCCTGCGTGGCGTTTCCAGAGCGTCACTGGGTGAAACAGCCTGAGGGTCTCATTTATGTGAACAGGAGAGAAAATATCTGCCCAGTAAGAAAAGCAAACTCACCGGTCTTCCATCTTCGCCCGGGTCACCCTGGAATGTGTGAGAGAAACCCTCAGTGTCAGAAAATTACAACTCCTTCCCCAGCCAGAATCAGACCACAGATGAGTGGCTATACACTCAAAGCCCCAATGGCACAAAGCTGTCCTTCACCCCTGAAGGACCCCTGCTCCCACTTCTGCTCCCAGAGCCACAGCCAAAGCTACCAGGGCTGTGTCTGGGCTGGCCCTGCCTCAGGTATCCCAGAGCACTGACCATACAGCAGTAACCTGGAGGCTCCAGGGACAGGCCAGTTCCTCTCATCAGCCACATTCTGTCCCCGTCCTGCCTAAGCCACCCACCCCTTTAGTCAGAACAGGCCAAGGGAGACATGTACTCACCGGCTCACCATCCTTTCCTGGGGTGCCATCTTTCCCTGGCAGCCCTGGGGGTCCGGGGGGTCCCTGTGGCCCAGGCATGGGCTGTGCCTCCGGGCTCTGCACCACTGGGCCTGAAGGACCCTGAGGGCCAACAGGGCTGGGCAGGCCCTGGGTGCCCAGCTCCCACTTCTGCCCCTGCAGGCCTCCCTAAGGATGAAGGCACACGAGGGCACAGCTGGGCACAGCCACACATGGTCTCCTGCATGCCTGCAGCGGCACACTGCTGAGGTTCAGCTGGGCTCTGTACCAGAGGGGCTTGCAGAGGGGGCTTGTAGAGAGGGCATGTAAAGTAGATAGGCAGGGGCCCTGTGTGCTGGGCAAGGTGAGGGGCAGGGCACAAAAGAAGGTAGGGGCCCAGTTAGGGGTTACCAGGGAGAGGTCTCACCTGTTCCAGGTCACCCCCAGGGTTCGGGACACTCCCGTCCCATGTGGAAACTGAGGCTGAGCCAGGAAGGGTCTGGGCTGGAGGAGAGGCAGAGGTGGTGTCAGGGCTGTGTAGTCCCCAGTGCTCTCAGTCCTGGCCTGGAGCCCACTGGACATGGAGGGAGCCGAGCCCCACATTGTGCTGCCCTGAGCACCTGCTCCAGCCAGCCGGCATCCTAGGCTTGGGGTGAGGGAATAGCCGGTGCCAACAACAAGGAGAGGGAATTAAAATTAGTAATGAACCAGCTCTGCAGGTCTAAGGAATGCCAGCAATTGCTAGGAGTTCCTGGAAGACTCTTCCTGGATTAGTTATAACGAGAGACCTTGTCCACCAAAACACCTTCTTAAACTCATCTTCTTCTTCCTTTCCCCTTTTTTCCCTACCAACTTTTTATCTGAAAGCTGGAAACATCAGAAATCCATCAAGGAAAGCAAAGTGAGACCACTGCTCTCACCCAGACATGGCAGTCACGCCCGGCACTTCCTACCATCCTCATGCTCTCTCTCACACGCACAGCAGACTTCACTTCTTTGCAGACCATTAGGGCATCTGTGGTATTTATCATAACCCTTCTCCCCTGAACACTGTGGCCTCTCCTTAGAGCGAGGATATCCTTTTACAAACCCACGTCACATTCAGGAAATCTAACATCATTACACAAGATGACCTGGTACACGCCCCGTCGAGAAAGCGAACATCGCTGTACATCACGATCCGGCACATGGCTCCTGGGGAAGTCTAACACTGTTGGACACTGTGATCTGGTACACGACCATGGGGTAATCTAACACTGCTACATGTGATGGTCTGGTACAGTCAGGAAACCTAACATTAATGGTACACAGTCATATGGGGTACATAGCCCATCGGGTAATTCGCCATTACACACACTGGTCTATACAGCCACGGGGAACTCTAACACTGTTGCACATGACACTCAGCTACACAGTCCATGTTCAGATTTCCCCTGTTGGCACAACGATGCCCCCTGTAGCTCCCTGTGAAAGGTGGGTGATGGTGGGGTGTTGGGTCCAGCATCATGTGTTTCATTCAGTGGTCAGCAAATTGTTGGCCAAACCCAGGCCCAACCAGCTCCCAGCCTACTATGAGTTAGCCTCTGAGTAAGATTCATTTTCAGAGAACTGCAGAAAACCCTGGAGTTTTTGACACCAAGAGGAGCACTCAGACCATGTCACCGACTACAAGTGCCTGCAGTCCCTGCCATGGGCTGTTCCCGCCTCATGTCCTTCCTCTCCAGTTTGCATATTCGTAGAGACTGGGTTCCAGATAAACCTACTGGACAGAGTCCCCAGCTTCAAGGCAGTGAGATGACCTATAGCAGGCTTTTCCACTGTAAAAATGTCTTTTCTCCTTCACGATGAACTAATAAGCAATTAATGGAGTGATCCTTTGAACTGTTCCCCAATGACCTCTCATCCAGCACTTTGAGCACCATTGAAAAACCAGATGATACGTAACTTACACCGAGTTGAAGTCCTCAAGGGCTAGCATACGTGAAGTTTAAAGGAATCCTTACTTCTGCAGCCAGGACAGCAGAGTCCCCGATGGTGGGTTTAACTGGCACTTGGCTGAGACTGGTGACTGGGCAGGACTAGAGGCTCTGCAGTCACACACATGTGGCTCTGACCAAGCTCAAGGGTGTCACCTTCCAGGGATGCACAGGCCCACCTTCGTTCCCATGGCTCTGTGAGATGCTGACCCGTTTCCAGAGGAGTTCAGAACCATGCCCATTCTTGACCTCCTGAGGTCGCTCCACCACAGAGGAGCACCAGCTACAGTCTGAACACAGCCCACTGCCCTTGGGACCTCTGCCCAGCAGCAGGCTGGGCCACACCCCTCCACCAGATTGGATGGCCCAGAACCAAAAGCACAAATATGACACACCAAGTCATGTCTGTCACAAGAGGGAGGCCGGCCTTTTCCTGCACGTAAGGTGAAAGTTCCAAGGACCCATATTTTAAGTGCTAGCATTCTTAAAGGCAAATCTATAACCCCTGCCTCAAAGATGCTTAAAACTCCAAAAAACATTGAAAAAACAATTCAAAGACGACCCAAATGAAAACCACAAGGAGGTACCACGACATACCTATTAGAATGGTTAGATTTAAAGGACTGAGTACGTCAAGCATTGGCAAGGCTGTGGAGGAATAGAAAGCCCTGTACACAGTGGTGAAGTGTAAAATGGAATGACTAACTGGGAAAATAGCTCGGCAGTTGCTTAAACAGTTAGACCTACACCTACCATGTGATCCCCCAATCCTACTTCTAGATATTCATCCAAGATAAATATAAGCACATGTCAATAGAGACTCATACTAGAATTCTCTTAGCAACTGTGTGTGCCTTCACCCCAAACTAAAATAAATCTACGGGTCCACCCCCAGGGGGAAGGGATGACACATTATGGCCAGTCTGCACTGTGGGACACTACCCAGCAAGGAGACAGAAGGACCACGACAGACTACATGGATGAGCCTTGGAACAAGGGTGCAAGGGAATCAACCCAGACAGAGTGTGCTGACTGTGGGGTTCCGTCTACGTGGAATCCCAGGAAATGCCAACTCCCTTTGGCGACAGAAAGCACTTCAGTGGTTGCTTAGGGTAGAGAGGGTGGGAATGATGGGACGGGGTACAAAGGGACAAAGGGAATCTTGGGACAGATGATGGTGCTCATTATCCTGAGGTGATGGTTTCACGGGCTACCACGGGCCCAAACGTATCAGATTGCACGTTGTAAGTTTGTGGCAGTTTACGGTATATTAATTATACCTGATAACAAAATACAAATTAATCAAGTGAGACACATCAGGCTACCTCTGAATGGTTCCTGGGACCCAGGCCACAGAAACTGGGCTGGCAGGGAAGGACTGCGAGGACCCCAGGTCCAGGTGGGACACGCCTCCCCCACTTGTAACTCTAGTACCAACTTGACCAGCTCGTCTGGTCTCTCACAAAGCACCTCTGGTAACAAATGCAACAAACACCTCAAGTCCTTTGAATACTAAGAGAAGGATATAAAAATAGGAATAAAAGTGGCCCTGAAACATCAGTCTGGTCAACTCTCTTGTTTATTCTTTTCCATTTCTAAGTTGACTGTATTGAACATGTATTATTTCAGTAGTTTAAAAGAAGCAATAAACACTCTTCCCTAAAATTATAAAATTATAAAACATATAATATTATAATATAAAATTACATAAATGTATACACACACACACGTATGCATGTATCTGCATGTGATTTTCTTTTTTTTTTTAACATTTATTTTATTTTATTCATTCACTTATTTAATTTGATGAGAGAGAGAGAGAAAGTGAGAAAGAAAGCTACCAGGTCCAGGACTTGAACTGTGGTCAGCCATGTGGGAGAGTCCAGCACCTTAACCACCATGCCACCTGCTGGTCCCCTCTGCACATGATTGTCTAAAACCTTAACATAAATGTGGAAGGCAGAAGCCTGAAGCTGACTATCTAAGAACCACGACAGACTACATGGATGAGCCTTGGAACAAGGGTGCAAGGGAATCAACCCAGACAGAGTGTGCTGACTGTGGGGTTCCGTCTACGTGGAATCCCAGGAAATGCCAACTCCCTTTGGCGACAGAAAGCACTTCAGTGGTTGCTTAGGGTAGAGAGGGTGGGAATGATGGGACGGGGTACAAAGGGACAAAGGGAATCTTGGGACAGATGATGGTGCTCATTATCCTGAGGTGATGGTTTCACGGGCTACCACGGGCCCAAACGTATCAGATTGCACGTTGTAAGTTTGTGGCAGTTTACGGTATATTAATTATACCTGATAACAAAATACAAATTAATCAAGTGAGACACATCAGGCTACCTCTGAATGGTTCCTGGGACCCAGGCCACAGAAACTGGGCTGGCAGGGAAGGACTGCGAGGACCCCAGGTCCAGGTGGGACACGCCTCCCCCACTTGTAACTCTAGTACCAACTTGACCAGCTCGTCTGGTCTCTCACAAAGCACCTCTGGTAACAAATGCAACAAACACCTCAAGTCCTTTGAATACTAAGAGAAGGATATAAAAATAGGAATAAAAGTGGCCCTGAAACATCAGTCTGGTCAACTCTCTTGTTTATTCTTTTCCATTTCTAAGTTGACTGTATTGAACATGTATTATTTCAGTAGTTTAAAAGAAGCAATAAACACTCTTCCCTAAAATTATAAAATTATAAAACATATAATATTATAATATAAAATTACATAAATGTATACACACACACACGTATGCATGTATCTGCATGTGATTTTCTTTTTTTTTTTAACATTTATTTTATTTTATTCATTCACTTATTTAATTTGATGAGAGAGAGAGAGAAAGTGAGAAAGAAAGCTACCAGGTCCAGGACTTGAACTGTGGTCAGCCATGTGGGAGAGTCCAGCACCTTAACCACCATGCCACCTGCTGGTCCCCTCTGCACATGATTGTCTAAAACCTTAACATAAATGTGGAAGGCAGAAGCCTGAAGCTGCCTCTCTAAGACCCTGGCGCTCTAGTGCTGCCTTCCCTGCTCCCCTCTGGGTACACTTCTTGGACATTTGCTGGATTTTCTTTGTATTCTGTCTCCTGTCTGATTCATGGTGTTCTCTGAGCTTTGTCAGTGGAATCTGAATTAATTGAAAGTGGAGGGACTGTGGAAATGTAATTACGGTTCCTAATCAGCCAACATTAAAGAGATGATTATCTCTTGACTATCCAGACAGATCCAATAACCACACAGGGCTCACAGGCAGGAGGTGGAGGCAGAGAGACTCAGCGTGAGGACTCTGCCTGCAGGACTGCCTTTGCAGATGGAAGAAGGGGCATGGTTGGTGCAGGTGGATGGCCCTGGGCCAAAGCCATTAAGGACCCTGGACCTGCAGTCCTCAGTCACGGAGCACTGAATGGGCCAGCAGCCCGAATGAGCAGGAACTGGACTCTCCACAGAGCCTTCAGAAAGGAGCCCTGTGCGCCCCGTGGTCTCCCACTCCCACGGGCCCCATGTTGGCCCTCTAACCTGCAGACGTGAGACACAGATGTGGGGTATTGGAACTGCTAAGCCTGTGGTCACTGCAGTTATTACATGCATAAAATAATCACTTTACAAGGGAAAGACCTGTGGTGATTTGTTACACAGCAATGGAGAGCTGAACACTAAAAAATTGCATCTCACTATTTTTTTTTTGAGAGAGATTTTTTGCTGTAGGGTATGTGTGGTTACTGGAAGACAGAGATAGACAGAAAGCGAGAAACCATTCCCCTAGGAGGACATTGGCCACGCTGCAATCCCTTCTCCTCCATTCTTTTCTCGAGAGTTTGGGCATGCACGCACACATGGCCAGCATGAGTTTCAAGCTGCCAGGTCCAGGACTCAAACTGTAACGGGCTATGTGCGAGTCCAAGGCCTTAACCATGCCGCATCTGCTGGCCTGCATCTCACTTTTAATATAGCTCAAGCAGCCTGGTTCTTCCTCTAGCAGGGCTTTGGCCTCTAGGTATCCATGAAGGACAACCCTACCTTCAAGGCTGACCCCTGACAGAGCCCAGCAGGCCAACCCGGAGAGGCCTGGGGCAAGAACTGTCGTTAATCAACACCACCTCCCCACCTCCAAAACCAACTCCTGTCCTCCCACCAACTTTGCTGGCCCCTGCCCAGGTCAGGTGTCTCACTCACTGCACCTGGGGCGGTTCCCTCAGGCCACGGAAAATGAGACATGGCCCGTGGGAAGGAGAAGCCAAGGCCAGGCAGCAGCTACTGTACCTGATGTCCTGGCTGATGACTGCACCTTCCGGGGCGGGCCACGCAGGCGCTGCTGCACCTCAGCCTCTCACCCAGCCACACAGACCACACGCACACCACACCACACCACCTCACATCACACCACGCACACACAAAACAAAAAAGAATCTCACCTCCTAATGAAGACTCTGTGGTTTCTTCTTCAATTTCATCCATTCTGGAATCTTCTGTGCTACTGCCCCCGGCCAAAGGTGGAGATGTGACCGGTGGTGGCCTGGGGAGGCTGGGCGTTATGGCTGCAACCTGGCAGGATGAGAGTAGGAAACACCATTTCTCAGCATACCTGGTGCCCTGTGAGTGGGTGCAGGCTGACAAACTGATCAGGCTAAGGCTGATCTGGCTTGTAAAATGAAATATGGTGGATTTTCAGAAAGATACAGAAAAAGCACTCTCTCAGACAGGAAGATGTTCTAGGACTCTCTGAAGCTGTTGGTTCCTGGGGCCTGTGAGCTCAGGTGGCCCCAGCTCCCCAGTGCTCGGGGACAGAGGAACCCCCTGGTGCTGCTCAGGATCAGTTATGTTGCACCCCCATGCTCAAACCTGGAGATTCTTCATGCCAGATGCTGGGGTGCAAGAGGCCCATGGGTCCATCCTTGTCCCTTTCCCATGCCTGAACCTCCCTTCTGCTCCCCTGGGCCCTCCCCCGATTATTTGTACAGATGGTCTGAACTGGAAAGACACTAACTTAGCTGCCCCCAAATCTTCCATACTACAGTGCTCTGCATGGTTTTTTCCTTCTCATATCCAATTTATGACCTGTCTGTCCCCTTATGGCCACCTACAACCCAATAGGGGTCCTGTGGAATGCCAGGGTCACCTTGAAAATCAAGAATCCCATTTTAGAAGAACATTCTCTCCCTGAGAATGCAGAGGCTGCAAAGGACACCTGTCCTCAGACTCTGAGCCCCGTGTGTTTGTCTTGTGTCCCTGTCTCCCACTGGGTATGGGTGTCCATGACACAGAAGGAGCCTTTGGAAGTCACACATGCATTTACACACAGTCCCACTGCTGGGTTTGGTCCCAGGCCCGGCAGGCGGTCTCAGCCTTCCCGGTGACTCACTGTGTCCTCCCTGAGCGACTTCTGGGTCTCCTCAAGCCCACTCCCGAAGTCTCCAGACGCCTGTGGGTTTAAGGGAAACGAAAAGAGGATGGTGAGTGAGGCCAACATTTGGGCCAGTGCTGCTGACACCGCCCCTCCCCACTGTCTCCAGGTTCTTGGAGGCGTTAGTAGTAGGTCACAACCAGTCAGATCAACCAGAGTAACACTCAAAAGTCAACTCAGCCACAGGTGGGCCCCACAGAAGCTTCAGAAAACACCCCCTTCCCTGACGCAGCCGATTTCCTGGGAAGATCCATGCACTCTCTAGGGAGGCCCAGTGGCCTCTGCACAGAGCAACATGTGGCCCAGGAGTGTGCTGGTCACTGTGATCCTGCCCCGGCCACCCATGGACTGAATGTCCCACCCTGTTACAGCTGCACATCAACCAATGCAGCATGGGGCCTGAGAGGATGGCCCTCTCACTGCCATCACGGTGTGAACTTAATAAAACCTGACAGAGAGGAGCTGGCAAGTAACACGGTGGTTAAGGTGCTAGACTCCCAACTCCCATATGGTGCCAACTGCAGCTCGAGTTCCAGACCTGGAGGCTTGCTTTCTCTCTTTCTCTCTCTCTCTCTGGTCAAATTAAATAATAATAATAATGAATGAAATTAAATAATTCTTTGGGGAAAAAAAAAACCTGAAGGAGCAATGTCTTGTCATGCTGACCTTGGAGTTCAAGGCCGGCCCAGGCAGGGGTGAGAGTAGGGTGCAGTGGGCATCTGGGCATCTGGGGCTGGCCCTCCCGGCACACAGGGAAGCTGCACGCCCATGCATTGCAGCCACACAGGCATAGTGCCATCACGGCCGCTAGGGGGAGTCAGGTACATTCTGGACTTCCTTTCATCCAAGCGCAAGTTATCAGACCAAAGTGGGAAAATTGTGCACATGCAAAATGGAGTACACAGGCTGCCCCAGTTCGACCACAGCCAGTCTGGGTGTGGCTGGGTGTCCCCTAAGAAAGGGA